GACTCTTTAATTGTGGAAGAATATCGACATTCAATTTTAACCCTTTTTTTTAGAAGCATTTTTTTCGAACAGAATTTTAACGATTTTCCAAAAATGTGGAAGTAAATGGTCTTTTATGCTTGTCATCCCTTGTGAACCTGCTGGCTGGGTAAAGTCTCAGGCACAGGTGAATGTGCTCAGCAGCTGAACCAGGCACTCCCTGGGGGCTCCTGTGCTGAGTTCTTACTTGCTGAGTTTGCAGGTGATTCCACTGGCACATGGCAATGAGAGGGCACAGCACTCTGAAAACTTGAGGCCAGAATCCTTAAAGGGCTTTTGGGTTTAAATCTACTCAAAGCTGGCACCTCCAATGCCCACTCCCCTCCTGCTGTCTGCATTTCCAAAGCTGGGTTCCTCAGGATGGCTTTGTTCTGCTGACCAGTGGGGGTTTTTTTTTCATTTTAAAAACAATCTTCAAAAAATTAATGTCTCAAAATTCCTCAGCCCATTAAATTAATTAGATTTTACAGAAGAGAATAATGAGTAAGTTCAAGAGAACTATAAAAACAAGGATTTATATCATCTTTTGTTAGTCTGGTTAAAGGCTAGTAATCCACAGCAGATTACTGGGATATAATTGCCCCATATGTATAAATACATGTATATGTATGAAATTAAGTTAATGTAGCATATTCCTGTGGCTACTCTCTCCATCCACCCATGGAGAATACATTTTACTAAACTGATTGGAATGAAATGCTTTAAGTTTTAATTTTATTTTTGAAAGCCTACATATTCATTTAACTTTCTTGGAGGCTCCTATAAACAAAGAATTATGTTCAGGGCCACTGCCAGAAATAAGGTGTGTCAGGGGTCTGTAACCCATTCAATAGAGGATCAGTCAATGGCCCAAGGGTACTTCCCTGCAAAGGAAAGGGTAAAATAACTGAGGTCAAGGCCTCAAATGCAGCTCTAGTTTTAATCATGTTGCTGATTTAGAGCATAACGTGCCTTTTTTTTCTTTTCCTTTGCAATTGTCAAAAAACATTTTGTTTTTCCTGACATGTGGCCCCCATGTCTGTTTTTTGCACTGCCCCATGCTCAGCTCAGAGACAGGGATGTTCACCATCAATGAAATGCAAATATATTGGCTTTATGTGGAAATAGATTCACTTGCCTTATGCTACTGTATAAATATGTGAAAAGAACGAGGGACAGGGAGAGAAAAAATGTCTTTTTGGCCAGGAAATCTTTCAGTAAAATCCATGTACTTGGAAGTAAATTAAACCATTGGGGTAAAAAGTTCCTAGAGGATGATTTCTTATATTTGGGAGCTAAAAGGGGAAAAGAGAATCAGCAAAAGGAGGGGGAAGACTCAAGTGTTCAATCCTCAATGAACATTTTGAAACAATTGCTTCTTAAAAAAGATGTAAAGGTTCTTTCAGTTCACAACGAAACTGAACAATTGGTAAAACATCTTTGTGCGTGTGAAATGGAAACTTTCTCCACCCATGGCACATTCTCTCCTCATACCCCACTGGCTGAATCCAGGCAACTCAGAAAGCACAGAAGGTGAACTTGCTTTTAAAACACAACCACCCAGTGCTAGCAGCAGGGCTTTTGGGCACCAGCACTGCACAATGCTGCTCTGCTGATATCACTGCAGCCTTTCCCAATTTGTTTGGTTCAAAATCTTCTTCAAATAGCTCAAAATCTTCAGGAAACTTCTACAAGAGCCCCCGTTGTTTCTTTGCCTCTAATGAGTGGTGCACCTGTGTAATTTGGGTAGTTCAAAGCCTGTGTCCCCCAAACTGAGCAGCAGCCCTGCAGAGGTGATGGCTGAGGCCACTGCACCCTCAGGACACACCCTGGCCATGTGCCCATCACAGCACATCCTTCACACTCATCCATGCTCTGGCTCCTGGCTTGGACAGCTCCTCAGGGAAACTCCATTTTCTGCTGCTCCTGACACCTGTGCCCTCCTCCCTTCCTGGCCCCGGGTCTCCCACACGAGCCCACTGAGGCAGGCACAGCCCCTGAGCAGAGCACTCAGGAACTCAGCAGCAAGCCATGGCTCCACGGGACAGGTGACAGCCTGGCACAAGGGACAGGGACAACTGCAGCATTCTGCCAAGGACAGCTGACCTCAGGCAAGGGCCAGGCTGGGGAGCAGGGCAGGAACTCTATCCCTAGCCAATCTCAGCCACGAATATGAAAAATGAGGGCCCTGTAGGTTTTTCTCAGCACAGTGCCCATGGATAGCAGCTGGGGTCCAAGAAGCATCACTGATATTATTGACGAGGTCAGGCTGGCTGCAGCAGCCTTCCCACACCACAGACACCACAGCTCAGGACAGCAGCAAGGAACAGCAATGTGCTGTAAGGTATTTTAAGGTACTTTAATGTGCTGCAGGAGCCACACAGTTCAAATGAACTCTGGCAGTGCATTCCTGTGAAATCTGCTGAAGAGAATAAATCCCTTTGGGGCAAACATCAGGATTGTTACTCTGAATTATCTGTATGCATCTGTTGTGGATAAACTCTAAATGAAAAAAAAAAAAAAAGCAATAATTAGGAATAGTCCATTTCAGGTTTGTACAGCAACTACTTTATTATTTTCAAATGCAAATGTTTGCATTGTTTGCTATTTTACAATTTTACAAACTAGGTATAAAAGACCATAAATAAATGACATAAGTTATGTGTACCTAAAATTCACAGAGGGAGAAAAAATTACAAATTAAAACAAAATAGAAAAATCTATATATCTAACCCAGAGATCGTTCAAATGCACAAACCAAGAAATGCTGTTAGAATTCTTCAGTATGAACTAAATTATAATATGCCTCATACATTCTAATTTTAACCACAGTCCTTGCATATTCCAACATACTTGCAGTGATACAAAAAAATAAATGCACTCTCTTTTATTTGTCTGATTAGTATTTCAGATTTTTTTTTTCTGGTTATGAAAATGTCACATAAAAGAAAAATACTGCTTTTTAAGTCCTGTTTACTGGTTACTTACCAGCTTTTTTTCGTATTTTATACATATATATTTTTAATACATAAGATCCATCACAAAATTAGCACAGCAAGAAACCCGGACAAACATCAACCATTGGTGTGTGAGCAGGACAATTGAACACACTCGTCGTGGGGACATGCTGGCAGTGGCCTGTCCCCAAGGGCAGCAGTGCTGTGGCACGTGTGGCATGTGGCACTCGCCTTCCCCTCGCTCCAGCTCCCTCTGTGGTGGCCCAGCCCGTGGCCACTATGCCAGGCACAGCTGGCACATCCTGGTGCCCTGCCGTGCCCAGCCTCAGCTGCCCTCCCTCCCGTGCCAGCCCTGCTGCTGCCCCTCTTTGGGACCAGAATTACCACAGAGGGAAAGGAGCAAACAGCAGCAGCCTTGGACAGCACAGAGTGCCCCATGTGCCAGAGCCAGCCCTGTGCCACGGCAGGAGCAGCCCTGGCAGCACCTGGGGAGCACCTGGGGAGCACCTGGGGAGCACCTGGGGAGCACTGCCCCCTGCCCGCTCCTCGTGGCCCTGGGTCCCACTCAGCTCCACTCCAGCTGCCTCACACCACCCTAGGGAGAACTCTCCAGACACAGAAAGCTCTCCGGGTAGAATCAGGATGCTGCAGCACTGCTCCCTGGGCCATGGAAGAAAGAGTGTCTTCTACTGCACTTCAACTGCTCTTCAACTGCACGAGGAACAGGACACACTTCACAACTCTTGCTAACTGTTAACTTTACAGGTCTTGTTGCATCTTTGTTCCTTATCTGTGCTGGGAACCAGGGAAGTGTTCTGATTATTACGTTGCACACAGAGCAAGGTGCTTCTGTGAATGGAAGAACTGCATATATTTGTTAGCATTCAACAAGTCTTTAAAATCCTATTTTTGCAGATAAAAAAGGCTACGTAAGAATTCAGTTCAGGATTAGCAGTGGATGGAGATGCAGGTGTTGCCTCCACCACCTTGCCACTGAGAAACTAGTTGTTCTTGGCCATGAGCAGGGCACTAGTACGAATAAACAACACTTAACAAAAACCTTTAGCACCCTTTAGATCCTGCAATCCATGATTCCAAAACTAACCCGAAATTGCCCGTTTTCAGGCTGCAGAACTAGTCAACAACGTTAGTGTGGCAGCTAAAAAATACACTTACAGATACAGAAACTTCAACACTTCTTAATGTGTGTGTTCTTGCTATCATTTCAGACATGAGCTATTGGCCTGGTGTCACAGGACAGGGGGCTCCTGCTCTTCCAGAGGTGGTTGGGGCACATTCACAGGCAGTTCTACACAGGAGGTGACTTGCACACCAACACACGCACACAAGCACACGTACGCACCTTTTGGAGGAGATAATAATCCATTATCCATTCAAGGAAAAAAATATATTTATATCACTGCAATGGCACCTTTTGTGTAAAATGTCACTTCAGCAATGTACACAGGCAGCTCACAGGAACTGGGTTCTTTGCTGTGGCACCTGGCCTGGTGTCCATGGTAAGATGTGTAGTGCTCTGTCACCTTCATTCGTCCGGGATGCAGCGGTGACAGCCAGAGCAATGAGGAGAGACAACAACAAAATATATAAATAAAACCGAAGGTAAGCAGAGAAAGCAGAAGAGGAGGAAAAACAAAATCCAGAAGTCTGCAGGGCCTTGACACAGTACATTCCTCAAGTGACAACTGGGTGCTGAGTCTCAACGAGTCAGTTATCGCTCAGTGGAGAAAACAACGAAGTGGATGGCCCAGGGAAAAAAAAAGAAGAAGTAAAAGTCACACTCTCTTCAGGGACTGATGACTGTTCAGCATGTGTTCTCCAGAATCAGTGCTATGGAAGACGCAACTGTGGGTCCAGGAGGCTTCATGTCCAGTCTGTGTTCCTCCATGGTCAACGTGATCAACAGGACGGGCTACGAGGCTGTGAAAGCAAAATCCATTTCCCTGCACAAAAAGAGAACCCAAATTAAATGTATTGAACCACATGCCCCACGACACACACCCAGACCTTCCCAAAATGGCAGCACTCAAAGGGTGGGAACCCTTTACCTTCCTTGTCCTTCTTCCTTCCCTCACACTATTTCAAAGTCTTGCTTCCATGGCATACCTTACATACAGATATGTAATCAACCAATCTATCTTTCTATCTATGTTTACATGGGCCACCTTTTTTTTCTTCCATCTGCTCTCTTCAAGCTAAAATCACATTCCAGTGGATGCCCCTCATTTGCCATATTTTATCACAGGAAACACAACCACCAGTGGCAGTGCTGAAAACCCAGCATCTGAGCTGCCTTCACAGTTTTCATTCTATAGGGACACAGTTTTCCATTTTGTGTGGAAAATATTGCACTGTTTTGAATTACCACTACTAGACTCCAAGACAGCAATTTAACAAACTGGCCAGAAAATTGGGTGTATTTTGGTTTTAGATAAAAAGATGATCTCAACAGAACGCAACAGATTTACAGCAAGGAAACTTCAAGTATCTCTGCACTCGAGAGGCAGAAGAGTTTTTCCTGCTGAAAGTACAAATGTCAGGTCTTTAAAATGAGTAACTACATCTTATGTTGCCTGGCAAAGTGACATTAAAGCATACTGGTTTAAGTAGATTTTTTAAAGAAATCTTAAATTTCTTGAAATGGAAAAGCTTTTATAAGTAATACTGCAGAACAGTTTATACTGAGCTGTCATGACTTGACAGGATCCAAATTTAGCATCTCATATTCAGAACAAGTTGTTCTCTGAGAGAGTTGGGAGTGAGGGAGAGTTAGTGGTTAAAATCAGCAAGTTATTGTTAAATGTGACAAAAAGTGATGTGAGTGACAATACAGTATGTGTGATTTGTCCAACTGAGTGAACTGTTTTGGATTTAGGATAAACTCAATTATTAAGAAAGTTTGACATATAAAGCCACTAAATCATTTCTGAATTTGCTGTCAGGTGTGGAGTAGGACCAAAATATTATAGACTAAAGAACCAGACTTAGTGCCATTAAACTATAAATCTCACCTTTCTGACATTGTGCCTGGCACAGCTGAAATGCAATGTCAGTTCTAAAGGACATGTCATGAAAATCCTCCTCCTACTCAGCACAGAGTAAGTGGCCCATCTTTTTTCTAAGGTCATCTCATCACTTTGGTCCTCAGAAGGACTTTAAAGGAATCTAACTTACATACTCTGTTGAAAAAGAGTAATAAAAGCTTCATGACAAATAAATTCAAGCCTCAGTGTTCAGAGCTTTACTGGATAAAGCTTTTTCCTCTGTGACCTACTGAGGACAACCACAGTGCCATAGCAGTCTCCTCCACCTAGCAAGCCAGGGGATGCTTTCAGCCACTCAACTTCCATCTGTTCCCGAGAGGAGGCAGAGGGCAGCTTTTCCATGATCCATCCTGTTGGCCATGCCTGCAGAGGGGTGTCAGACCCCAGCTGTGCAGTCTGCACCTGGCACACCCAGAGCTGCCCTGACAATCCCAGCTCCCACCCTACAGGGCTGGTTTCCAAAGCGGATTCTGGTTCCCACAAGCGACCCAACACTATCATGGTGCACGAGCTATTACACTGCTGCTTTGCACAGAGCTCTGACACCCAAACTGCACAAAACCTGCAAGGCTGCATGCACAATCCTTATTTTTTTCCTGCTTCTCTTCCCATAAAACCACTGACATCACAACAGAAAAGCATCTTTCTAAAACCCAAATACTGCTTTTACTGCTGTTCACGAGAGTGCAGGGAAAGTCTTTGGTTCTTCTAGGTGTATTTATGAGTATTTATACTTTACACTATGGCATCCATTCATGTTGTTTTTCCAATCACAGCATTAAGGGCATCCCTACTGCTCTCAGTGGGAAGTGGGGTCAAGCTCTCAGCACTGAGCTGAGCCCCAAGTCACTCCAACACCTTGTCTTCACACCCTACCAGGCAACAGCTTAAGAGCAATTTGAGATAGTGCAATTTTCACTGCCATCAAATAGAGCAAACAATTGAAAGGCTCAGCAATTAGTCTGGGAAACCAGCACAGATTCTTATAAACCAGTTAGGAACCCCAAATAACACACAGAACAGCAGTTTTTATTTTCCCCCAACAGTGGTGAAGTCCTAGCACAGCTTACAAAATGAAGCACCATGAACATGTTGGACATTATACTTCCACTGACCTTCTGTGAGGCAAAGGGAGTAAGTTCCTTGAAAGAGAAAAGAAGTCTGAAAGCTCCACAGCCACGATTGTCACAGCTGACTACCGGCAAGATGGTCACAAAAGTCTTTCAATGGTAGGCTTCAGCAAAGCACAACAGCCAAGAACCTCCCCAGAAGTCCAGTTTTGCCCACTAATCCACAAGGTGGGTCACTTCATGTCTCAAGCCCATGAACGGGTAGATCACTAATTGGCAGGCACTGATTAGCCACGATATTCTCACTGAGGTTTTTGCAAGGTGTTAGTGATGCATCAAGTCTGCAAAGAATATCCTAGGGCAGGTTCTTCATTCCAGTGAAAGGTACACAACGGTGGTTTCACCCACAAATAAAACACTATGGTTGTAATCCTACAGGTCACAGGGAGAAGGAAAGTAACGCTGTTGTTTTTTAAGCACAGTATCTGGCAGCAAACATAGCATCAAAACTTGAATGTGACTTTATATTTATATAGATACATGTATTTTACATATCATTGATCAACAGAGAAGTGTGTTCCAAGAAACAATTTGTTCCAGGTCTGGTTTCAAATGACGGCTGTCATTTCTGGAGGCCCCCTCCCAACACACACGCTCGGGTTCCGCAATCTGTACATCAAGCAATGCTGCAGATCTTTATTCCAACGGGCGAGGAGACGAAGTAAAAAAAGTGCAGTTCTTCAATTAAAGTGCATGGATGAGGTAAACTAATTTCAAGAGTTTTGAGTTTATTCAGTGCTGGCTCAGACGGGAACCATCCTGCCGTGCATCTGTTGCATTTGGGTGCGCATCGCTTGGACGCTGCTCAGGATCTTGTTCTGGTGTGCCAGGGCCGTGATCCCAATCCTGGCCAGGTCCCTGTGGAAAGCAAGAGAAGAACAAGGGGCTGAGAACCAGGGATCAGATACTGGGGCAGAAAAAAATATTGAGAGTCAACCGCAAGCAGCATTAGCAAAAGCAAGGCAGATGTACAGAAATGTTTAATTAAATAAGTGGAGGCATTTTAAAGTTATCCTCCATCCAAATGAAAGGCATTCCATTCCTTTAATGAGTGTAATGATATGCAGCACAAAGCAAGAGAGGCTGATTAAATCCAGATTTACCAGTTTTTTTGTTATATCGCTGAGTACTTACTCCTGGTTCATATGCACCACAGCCTCAAGGGTGGTATAGCCAGCAGCTGTGAAGTTATCCTTGTATCGCTCCATTTTCATGGCTTGCAGCCAGTCACTGACAGAAACAACCGCCGAGAACTCAGGGGAGCTGGGATCCAGCAGGGCTGTGCTAGGCCTGCACGCCAAACAGTGAAAGGACAGAAGAAATAGTGTCAGCTGGATCATGAACCACAAACCAAAGTTTTCCCTGCAACAATTAACCTCAATGATGAGGGAAAGCAAGGGCAAGAGGCTGTGCCCAGTGAAACTGGTGGCTCTGCACATCAACTCAGATCAATGCAAGAAACTGAACAAGATGCAAAGTAATGGGCCCATTTTTGCTAAGAATGAATTTGACCAGAGGTTTCTGTTTCTGGTTTGAGATCTAATTTGAACCACAATACAGCTTATGATTTCCATCTCAGATACAACCAAGTTCACAGAAAATGCTTTTACTCCTCAAAACAAAGAAGATGGCAATGCTGGAAGGCATTCAGCCTGCTGGGTCTGTATCTCACGGGCAGCAATGCCAGACCTTGCCAACCCTGCATGTGTCAGACTTCAGCTCAGCAGCTATAGAAACACTGCTGAAGTGTGTGCAAAGAACTGGGAGCTCACACCCTGCCAGACTGGTTTGGAGGGTAAAACTCAGGGTGCGTTCAGATAACTCTGGTTTCTAGCCAGGTCTGCTCAGTGCATTCAATCAAACTGAGGACAGCAGGGAGCTAATCCCCTCTTTAATCAATCCATTCCTGACCAAGTGTGTGCCAGGAGTGGTGGGAATCACACGAGCTTTGATCTTTGTTTGCACTGTGGAATGTGCTTCTCATTTTGCCTTGCATAGTTTTGCTAATAATTATTTTTACAACATTTTTTTTCTCTTATTAACATTGTATTTATTTCATGTATATAAGTCACGGTTTCATTAAAGCACTATAAATTACTGTTATCTATCTAATCAAAACAATTATCATTTAGCAATTTATTTGAAAATGCACATCATCAAAGACTAGGTGTGCAATAGCATGGTTTGGTCTTGCCTGAGGCATTGAGTATATGCTGGTAATACTTGGTTCAACTCTTTTTCTGCATTATCTAACACAAGACCAATAATGGTAACCTATTCATATATAATTATGCGTTATGCATAAAGTCATGTATTAATAATGTTATATGCATATTTGAAATTCCCACTCTGAAGACAATAAAAATATTTATAAACATCCATGAATGTGAAATGACCTTGAATAGGCTGTTACCTACATACACACACACACACACACAGAATGACCTTGAACAGGTTATTAACTATTGGAAAACCTATATATTTTCAAAGAGCACCTGTAAATTGAAAAGAAAGCAAAATGGAGGCGTTCCTACTGTGATTCTTCAATCAAATTATCACAGCAGATCATACTGTGATTCTCATCACGTAAATTATTTAAGCCTCAAGGGAAGATACATTTTTGCCAGGCTCCCAGTGCAATTAGGGCAATCTGGAAGATATGGTGATAGTGGCCTCACAGGGTTAATGATCCCTCTTCTGGTGACATACATTGTAAGCAAGATTCACAAAGAGACATACAGGTTTAAAAAAGAATGTTGCTCTGTTGGAGGCAGAGACAGAATCTCTGTTACTCCCTCACTGATTCAAGAAACTTAATTTTGCATTGTCTAATGCATATTTTTGCACTTCCCCCTTCTAAAAATATTTTCCTATTATCTTCCTCACTTCTTTTATGCTTTTTTTTTTTCCATATTTGCTGTAAGCAAAACTACCTGACAAAGCAGAGACATTTGAAAAAAAGAGACCAAAGCTGGTAGAGATCAGTAAAGCTCCTATTACTTCAGCGGTGTTTCACCAGCTTAAACAAACTGCTGATCTGTCCCAACAAAGATATTTTGGTTTTACCCTACAACTCTGGGAGTTTTCCTTCCTGCTGCACTTCTCTTGCACGTACCAGGTACACCAAGCTTAGCAAACAAAACAAATGTAATGCGGGATCGGTGGAGACATGAAACCGGCTTTCCACAAAATTAAATTCAAATTCACATAAAAATTAATCCACACCTTCCCAATGCCCGCGAGGCGTTGGCTGTAATGCTGTAACGCTCATTTGCAAATCCTACACAAATCTAGGGTTTATAAAACTTGATGATGTGCTTTTCCTGCACAAAACCACATCACTCCTGTTAGCTGCACTGATTGAGGTGACCCTACCCATTCAAGCCCATTCACAGGGGGGCGAAGGGGAAAGAAGCAGCAAATTTTGGCTTTTCACAGAGCTTGCCTGCGTCAGGACGTGCTTAATGCTGTGCTGGAAACTTGCTCAGCGTTGGTGTGATCCAGCAGCAGCTCTGCTCACTGCCCTTCCTGCCTGACAGGGCTGGCACACCTACCTGCCCCGGGGGCCACATGGAGCCAGCAGAGCCCTGTGCTCACCCGTGCAGAGCAGTGGCTGCTGTGCAGACTGGCCCTGCAGAGCTGTGTGCCTCCTGTACTCTGTGTGTGCCACCTGCACTGTGTGTGCCTCCTGCACCGTGTGTATGTGTCACCTGCGTTCTGTGTGTGCCTCCTGTACTCTGTGTGTGCCACCTGCACTGTGTGTTACCTATACTGTGTGTCACCTGCACTCTGTGTATGTCACCTGCACTATATGTGTGTCACCTGTATTGTGTGTGTGCCACCCACACTGTGTATGTGTCACCTGCACTTTGTGTGTGCCACCCGCACCGTGTGTGTGCAGCTCCCCTGTGCTGTGTGTCCCCAGCAGGGAGCAGGGCTGACCTGGAGCTCTCGCTGCCTGTCCTCTTCAGGCTGTTGGGGTTACGGATGAGCTTGTCCAGCATGTTGACGATCTGCCCGAACTTGGGCCGGTCGCTGCGCTCCTTCTGCCAGCAGTCCAACATCAGCTGGTGCAGAGCGATGGGGCAGTCCATGGGCGGGGGCAGCCGGTACCCTTCCTCGATGGCTTTAATCACCTGCAAACGGCACAATTAGGGACACATCAGAGAACATCAGCCACTGCTCAGCCTACCAGCTGTGAAGGGTTTATCCTATGGCCATGCAGACTGCGGTGACAAATCCCCAGTTAAGTGATACAACATGGAGAATTGCACTTGGACTGGACAGCTGGTGGTCTCAGAACTGTCATTTCTCCTCAGCAATTCAAAACTAAAAGGGTACAGCACCCAGAGCAGACATCAGATATGGCAGGGCAATTTGTCACAAGAAAGCTCATGGGACACAGGGATGACAGAGGAGCCCTGGTTAGAAATAAGCAAGTAGCCTCATTGGATAGAGCGCTGGAGAAGCAACAGCTCGACAGCAAGTCTTTACTATCAGTCAGTTTTGGGTGCAATATGCTGAGATTGTATTTTCCCCTCATTTTTAAGGTACAGCTGATCACTCCCTCCCCCTGTCCTCCCTGGCTAGCTCATCTCTGTCGGTAATAGAGGCCTTGCAGAGAACCTGTTCTCTCACTGCTGTATGCTCTGAGCCAAGAAATGCAGAGATGAGAACCCTTTTGTGCAGCTTTACAAAAGTCCAACACATCTTAAGTATGTATTTCATATTTAATAGCAACCAGAGAAACTCAGAAACTGAGACTGAAGTCACTTCAAACCCTCTAAAAAGCACTCCAGAGGCTCTAATGGCTTCTTAGGTCTCTCGGGAGAATGGGACACGACCAGAACTCAATTCTGACATGACAGGGACATGACCCAGATGCCTTCAGATCTGAATTAATCAATATGACACTGCTGGCAGGACTCACCATGAGACTGGAGACCAGGACTGCTCAGAGACTGAGCTGCACTAAATTCCCTCCTTCTGGACTTGTCCAATTAGTGGCTAAAATCCACTGGGAGGATAAGGTGAGGGATATGCTTGCATTATTAGCAGCTATTCAGTGACCACAAACAAAGTGGCTCTCACTCCTCCAGAAAGTATGAAGATCCTTTTGATTTCTCTTGATTCAACAGACACTGACTATAATTTGAAATCCTCTTCTGCTTTGTTGTGAGAAGCACTGCTCTTGCCATCATTAAGGAGGAAAAAAGGCACGTCTGTGCTATGGACTGTAAAGAGTGTGCAGAGACAGTAATATTGGCTTTCCCTGTCTTGTTCAAGCCAGCTTTTCAACGTGGTCTAGCAGTGTACAGTCGCAGTGAGCACCAGCCTAACATAAACAGCTCTAATAAAACCAGCTCTGTTTGTTGCAGTGAGCTCCACTGTGCGGTGCAGACATGCCTGATATAACCGAGACACATCTGGTGTTTTATTTTCTTGCTACGTCTTGATGACTTCCTGTTAGCAAAAGGAAGGCAAGATTGGGTGCCAGAAGAGACATTTCACATCAGAAGGAAATTAAAATTATATCCTCCATTTAGATTAAATGCCATCCACATCTAGACACTCTTTGAAAATGTTCAGCTCTACAGAAGAAAGCAGATGACTTGTAAAATGCCTTAAACACTCCCATGGCTGTATATTCAGATTACCGTTTTCTTCTTCCTTTATTTGCTTGTAAATCTCCTGGGAAAAGAATTACGGATAATCTAGGCCTCACTTTCACTGGGATTTTTCATTTAATAAAAATTCTATTAGCAAAAGCTCTTATTAGCATTATTATTAAATACTCTTCTGGAACAGCAACCATTGTGCACAGTCCCTCTTGGAACACACTGAAGTAGTCCAGATGGTGTGGTTAAACAGGACATGCATAATTTAAGAATGGTCATTTACAAAAGCTGCTTTTTAATGCCCTCAGGGGGCAGCTATGCCATTGCCACAAGGATGCTCTGACTGATAATAAGAATTGGATTTCCTATGTGTTGATTTAGATATCCTACAAGAAATAAAATCACCTGGAAGAATTATAAGCATAGTGGAGCTTCAAAAATGAACTACCAATAGGAAGCCAAGTGTTTTTCTCTTAAAGACATTCAGTAAACTCAAGATATACTGTGAACATTCAAATCTTCCTTCTCTTGACAGCATTACGATTTGACAGTTTAAATATATTTGTTTCCCTTTCCTACTTTTTCTTTAATTGCTATTTTTTTTTAATTTAAAAGACCAAACCAAATAAACCCCATGCACAAGGTATAGCCCCTAACTCGAGAATCCCCTATTCCATGACCTTAGACAAATCTTGAAGTACTCAAGGAACTTTAGTTCCAGAGAGGTTTCCTGAGAAAACAGGAGTCTACCACCAATGACAACCTTTTAAAAGCCAGGAATAAACATCTCACAGCCATAGAGCAACTGCCACAGACACACCTCAGCGCACGTCTGAGGACAAAGATAAAGGCGTGGGGAGGGGAAGGGATAGAAGAGGCAGGGGAAGCTGGGCAGGACACTCACATCTTGGTTGGACATGTCCCAGTAGGGCCTCTCCCCGTAGGACATCACCTCCCACATGACGATGCCGTAGCTCCAGACGTCGCTGGCCGAGGTGAACTTGCGGTAGGCGATGGCCTCGGGAGCTGTCCACCTGATGGGGATCTTGCCACCCTGCCACCAAGGAAAGAACCACAGCCCAGTGAGTCACTGGTGCAGCAGGCTGTGTGGCTGACACTGTTCTACATATTCCAAACACAAAATGGTTTTTTTGTGTACGACTCCAGACCCCTTCTTAAAATCGCATCCACTTTCTCTCCTGCTTGCCATAAAGCTGTCAGATCCAACCAGCAGGCAATGCTGCCCATCTGTTTTCTTTAGTCATGAGGAGGCAAACCAGTAAATTGTTACATGTATTTTTATCAGCCCTCCAAGAGATCTCTGCTTAGGGCTATGCTGAAGCCTGAGAACAAGCCAGGGGTTTTACAAAGTATATATTAGAGATTTAGTTGACAAAACAAATAAGTACATGCTGTTAATTACTATTTCCTTGCTTGCCCGTCTGACCTGTTTGGCCTGTTTCAGAAAAATGGGATTACAAACATTTTGCTTTTCAAAAAGGTAAAATAAAGAGAGGATAAACTGGGAAGATTTATGAATACAGTGGTGTTTCCCATGGGCAATATCCCAACTCCTACCAGAATTGTGAGAAGGCAAGCAAGCCTCTGGGCTCTCCCAGACCCTGGGGGAGGAGCTCAACACCAAACCAGGGTACAAGGCTGCTTTTGATACCTGTTGGAGAAAGCTGCCTCTTCTTACAATACATCTTTTTAAACAAATAAAAATACTTGGTCATCTGATTTGGGCCACTGAGGTCCTACACTGTTTAAAAAGGAACTCACTCCATCCTGTTTATCTGATTTTGCCTTAGCTGAGTGATCCCAGGCCAGAGATTTCTCCTTTTGTTTATGCTAATATGCAAGGTGTTTTTAATTGAGCCTTTGGTTTCCTGCAGTTCCATCTGGGGAATGACTTAAGCTGAACAAAGGTTTTCAGGCTTTTTTCATTTGCTTTTATGCTTTTTTGATTAAGTTTATTTTGGTGGTTTTTTTCCCAGCCATCTCCTAGATAGCTTTTATCCATAACTGAGTGCAGTGTGTGCATACTTAATAGTATATTGTTCTACTATATCTCCCAAGTGTTTAATATGGACTGGTTCCAAAGCCAAGGGAAATCAAAAGGGGTCCTTCTCCTGGCTGTTTAAGCCTTTGCATCAGGCCCTTTGTGAATCAGGTTGTGGCAATATGTGCCTTGGTGACTGTAAGATGCTCTTGCTTTAATGAGTTACTAACAGGAGCAGAACGCATCATTCTCTTAAAAAATACTGCTTTAAAAATTGCATTCTATTGCAGCCTCTCTGGAAATGCAAAAGCTTTATTCCTCCTTTCAGACACAGATGCACTGACACTGTTTATACATGGTTGTCATTCTAAAAATTGTCAATAAGCTCTTTATATTTAGCTGCTTGAGCACAGTGGAGCTAATCCAAATATTCCTGATCCTTCATTACTGATACCAAATGAAGACAATGACTGTAAAGCAAATGTCATTGGCTCTTTCTAGTTTACTCCTGAGAGCCAACAATACCATATTTCCACTTGCTAAATTCAAAGAGGAGCTTTTCAGTAATGTCTGACTTGCCCTTGTGTGCTTGTCTAAACCCTGATTTCCCTGAATACAGCTTTTTAGACCTCTGCTTCTGCTTCTTCCACTTGCCACCCTTATGAGTGAGAGATACCAAGGCTGGCCAGCATTTAATACTACAGGAGTCTATCCTTCCCTGTAATGAGCTGTGAATCCATTAAAGGATGAGTGTTGGGATTAAACAGCAAGATCTGAGTGCTGCAAACAAACTCAGCACTGGGGAGAACAGATGGAGAATGGCAGATATTTAAAAACGAAGAAAATAAGCAATTAAAAAAGGAGACTTTATAAACTGACATTTTTCTCTTTACATGTATGTTGATATCAGAGGTATTGGTACAAAAGCTGGTAATGGCTTGTTTTGTGGCCAGAATACTTGCATTAGCCCTATTCCATGTGCAGCATATTAAAATGGCTTTAGCAAAATTACCTAACAGTGGGATGCTGAAATAAAGATAAAATGGGAAAAAAACAAAAAATGGGAACGCGGGTCTAACGCTTTCCCCAATCCCAATCATTTAGGTCAAATTTATGACTGGCTTTGTCATGGGCAAAAGTGGATGTATACTTTTTATTTTTTTCTGGTGTCTCTACACCTGCTGTATCAAATATGAGTAGGATCAGCCACTTGGAAACCATGTTTGTAGATATCAGAAGGAATAGAAGTCCAGGCTCTAATTTCTGCCATCAGATTCCTGTCACGTGCTCTATCATGATGAAGGAACAAGAGGAATACATGGGTCACATCCTCAGAAAAGAAATACTGCAGTGGCCACTGCTGTAGCAGCAACAGCACATCAATTTATAGGAGCTATGGAGCCTGGGCCAATGTTTACTTTTAGATTGTGATTTAGGTTTTCACTTGTGACTGAGACTATTTTAAAACAAACCACTGTCACCTCCCACGCAGTCAGACAAAACCAACATGCAGGCATGACAACATGGCCATTTCCTTCCCTCCCTACCCGTGTGGTGTAAGCTGCCTCGGGGTCGTCCTCCAGGACGCGGGACATGCCGAAATCAGACACTTTGCACACCAGGTTGCTGTTGACCAGAATGTTGCGAGCAGCGAGGTCCCGGTGCACGTAGCTCATGTCAGACAGGTACTTCATCCCTGAGCCAATGCCACGGAGCATCCCCACCAGCTGGATCACTGTGAATCTGCCATCATTCTTCTGCATATGGGGAAAGGAGAAAATCACAGAGCGTTCAGCTAAAAACTGCATTATTGCCATGGCTGAAATCGGCACGGAGCAAAGCAGTGCATTGCCATCTTCTCTCAGATAAAATGCAATGTTATTTCCTCACTCTCCTCACCAGGGTCTATAATTCACCAGTAATGCAAAAACCCAGAGGTTCTGTCACAGCTTTCGGTGATGCAGTACCCTGTTTGCAATGAATCTGATTTTAATGACTCTACAGCACTGCAACACTTTCAAAAATGGAGCAAGTCAGAACTGTTCACATTAAACATGGATTATTTAAGATCCTGCTATTTTAAAAATTAATTTATTTTATATTCTTCCACTTTATATTTATTCTGGTTTTTGATAGAAGCAGAATTTCCCAAGTACAAACATTTCTTTAAAACTGCATAATTTTCAGTATCGTTCTGAAAAAAAAAAAATAAGGAAGAAAGAAAGAAAACCAGAAAATGTTTCCCAGTATAAAATCTCCTTAGCTTTTGAAGAAATCACCTACCCTGAGGAAGGCATCCAAGGAGCCATTCTCCATGTACTCAGTTATGATCATTACTGGTTTACCTAGAATGTGGAGAAAGAAAAACACAATTCCTTGATGAACACCAATGTTAATGGGATAAAAATGGCTTGCACGTGATTTTACTGCCAAGACACCTGGCTTACACAATCTAATTTAATTTGAAAAGCACCAAGCTTATGCCTCAGCTGTGGGGAGCAAGAGATGAAATATTATAGGACAGAAGCATTTAAAGGGCCCATCTGGAAGGTTAACCCTTTGGTTGACTCATTGACAAGGTCTTTAACTGAAGTGGCTCCCGTTCTCTAAGGAATATGTGAATTGATAATTGAGAACTAAGAAACAAAGATGTGTCCAAACCTGACAAAAATCTTTAGTGTAATAAATTGCTTGCAGAGCAGAAAATGGAATTTATGAATGCTTTGGTCTCTCTGTCTTTTGTGAACGACCAATGCTTTAGGCAAGTTGGAAGCTGCCAGGAGCTACAAGGTATTCCAACACAACTGGATTTAAGAATGAAAAATACAGTCTGTTCCCCTCAACCTTCTCTGTCCCAAATTTGTACTCTGTGTCTCCTGCTATTTATAAATGAGCCAAAGTCATTTGCCTCCTGAAGTCAGCCAGGGGCAAAATGATTCAGAGCCCTGTGTCACACGTGGGGCACAGAGCTCAGCAGCACCCAGCTCCCCATGCTGCAACAGAGGCCAAACGGGGCAAGCAGAGGAGAAGTGCAGTGTTACTGACAGGGAGATGCTTTCTAGGCACTCTCCTGCCTATAACAACAGCAAAAACACAAATAATGCTTCATGTTGTCTTTAGGGGTTTTATAAAGGTCACACAGCGCTGAAACCGAGAATATTTAGGTGCATACAAGGAACACTAATTTCATGGAGTTAAATCCTATTGCATATTTGACATAAGGAATTTGTAGAAATAGGTCTGAGAAGATCTCAAAAGAGCAGTGGTAGAAGTACAGAAGTAACTCATCGAAGGTTGAATGGCAAAAGCCCAGTCCCAAGATGAGCACTGTTAAGACGAGCACCTGACAATCAGTGCTGTCTGGCAGGGCAAACCTTCCTCTCTCTTATGCTTTACCTACAGGAACTATAGAGTTTTCTTCCTAAATAAAAGATGGTGTCCCAGAGAAACTCAGCTTTTATTTCCTGGAGCTGGTCTGAATAAGGGAACATTACAGGGAAAGAAGGCTTCAAAGTTCAGGCCACCTAGACTGTAGATAGTTCAACTGCATCTTGGCATGGGAGGTATAAGAACTACCTAATTTTTCCTTGCTTCTGTCACCAGCAAAGATCTGCTTCAGAACAACCATCTCTAAAAATTACCCTACCGTGAAATGTTGCAGCATTTAAAGCTCCCCTAATAGTTTCTACCTCAGTGCATCTTTCACCAAGATTCTTTTCTCTTCATTTGTCAGGGATTTCTGGTTCTGAAGTAACCTTTTTTTAATTAGAAAACCATATGCTGTAAGACCTGACTGCAGAAACATTTTACCACATTTCACTTAGGCCAACACCTATGTGCGATACATAACTTACTTCACTCATCATTGCTTATTTCACCTTTCTGGCCCCAACCTATCTTTTACAGGCCTTTTACTACTGCTTTTACTTCCCTGCTGGTATCCAAATTCTTACTGTTTTGGTCCCATGCAAGCCTGTGAAATGCCATTATTGAATGTCGAAGAGAAGCAATGGTACTGCATAAAGCAAACTGCTCTGGATGAAGGGCTGAGTGACCTTGGCTGAGCACATTCTTAAGTAAAAGGGTGTGATAAAACATCATCCTCCCTCTAATTCACCTTTGAAAGCATTCTTTGGTAGAAAGAGTGAAAAACTTCAACCAAATCTGCATATGGCACTGTTTCATTTATTCTTTGCAACTGCGGCAGCAACCCTTCCACTGAACAAATACAGCTAAATGAGTATTAATTAACCTTCTTCAATCAAAAGATACTATGTCAATGTAGAAGGGAAAAAAAGGAAGACTCTTTCAGTGCATTAACATGTAATTTCATTACTCAGGCACTTCTTTTGCAGGGGAGGGGGGATAGAGAGAGGAGGGAGAAGTAACCATCAGCGAGTCAATTATTAAAGTACTTGACTAGCAGCCAATAATTTATTCATGGTTTTTTGCTGCCTCTCTCAACCCCCATCTATACCACTATTTATCTCACATTTTAATTTTCAGTTTATTAAATGCATTCATTTATCACAGCATTCAGAAAGCCCATGGAGAAATGGAGATAAATGTGTTCTTAAGTAGCCCTGTTTCCCCAGGAGCGCAGCCTGGAGGTAACGGAGCTGGAGCATCACTTACTGGGAGCCAGGAACAGAGCCCTGCCAGGTCACACTGCCACCTCCTCGGTGAAAATTCCCAATCATTTTAATTCACTGACAACTGCATTATGCAAATGAGCATGGTCATTTATAAGTGCTGGAGCTGCAGCAGCTCAGGGGCTTCCAGCCTCAGTGGGATTTCAACACAAAGATTCCCCTGTTGTCTCTCTTTCACTGAGGTGCTAAAAGAATCACTGGCTGAGGCACTGGGGCCTGATCACTCCCCTTTGTTATAACAATCACAGAGAGAGACACTCAGACCTTCCAAATTTAAACAGAGTACTGTATTTTAATTTTAGTTTTGAGGGAGGCTCTCAGTAAAGGATAGCCAGAATTAGTCCAAACTGCTCTTTGCCTTTAAAAGCAAACTGCCACACACTGTATGAGCCATTTTCAAGTGCTGAGAGAAGGCAGACCAGGAGATGACAACACAAACGAGCAGGGGTAAGATTTCCAGAAACAAAAGTGGCAGAGTAAGTATCAGCTCTCACTGACATTCAAGAAGAACAGAGTTTTACAGAGGAATTGATGGTTTTGATAACCCTCGATGAGAGGTACTTTGTTCTTCTAGTGATATTTTACTTTTTAACTTTTCATCCATCTTGAATTTTAATTGCTCCCACTATTAATACTCTGCATTCACGTTCCTCATGCTGCAGAAGGTGAGCTTCACAAAGTCCACTCTGACAGCAGCTCACAAGATCACTGCCTGAGCCCCAACATCCAAAGGGTCTTTTAGGATTAGCAATCAGAGCCAGGCTTTGCCACCATGCTACCAGAGCAGTTGGAGCAGAGACAACACCCACAGCACACCTCGGCAGTGGCACCTTGTCAGGTCAGACCCAAGCACTGGTGTCTCACAGGTGCATTTTCAGCTCCAGCCTACAGACAGCACCCAGCAAGCACTGCCACTCTCTACAGCACAGGGAAAACTGTCACACTTAAAAAAAACCCAAAACAAGCAAACAAAAAGATCATCCGGGTAAATTCTGCAGAGTGAAATTAGCACACCTGTAAATCAGAGAAAACAAATAAGCAAGTTTCACACTAAAATAGCCTGCTTCATTTCAAAGGTTTGCTCCTTACATCTGTGCTTTGTACTTTAAACATATGACTGTGTAGTTTTGTTTTGGTACTTTTCCCCCATCATTTTGAATTCTTCACTCACCATCTGCTTTTGCCTATCCTGTAACAATCATCTCAGTCTAGCAAAGATGTGAAAGATGCCTGCTTGGCATAGCAAGAAGGGATAAAAAAAAAAGCCAACCCCTGCAGTATTAATTCCCTCTACAAAATCTTGTACAAGCTGCCTACAGATAGAGTATCAGTTGAAACCATAAACCCATTTATAGCTGACAACAAGATTAATGACTTGTCCTGCACTGATTTCCTCCTATTAGCTATCAGTGGATCTGTTCCATCTGTCATTTTACAGGAAAGAGGGTAAGAAGGAAAAAAATAAAAAAAAGCCAGTACACACCACACAGACTTAATTTCTCAGTGACTTCCAAATTGGACTTGTCATGAAAATTACCTACTTACATTTAGTAACTACACCTTCCAAGTGGATGATATTGGGGTGGTCAAATTGTCCCATGATACTGGCCTCACTCAGAAAGTCTCTCCTTTGTTTATCAGTGTAACCAGCTTTTAGAGTCTTGATAGCAACACAGATCTCTCTTTTTCCTGGCACTTTGAGGCGTCCACTGCACACTTCACCAAACTCCCCTTAAAGAAAAAGGCACAAGAATCCATGGTCACGAGCCTGAAGCATGCACTTGTGTTGTCAAACTATTATGTCAGTACATTTGGGAAAATTGTCATACAAAAATCATAGGATCACACGTTCCCTAAAAGCAAATTTAGAAGTGTATTTACAGAAAAAAATGCAAAAGTTCTGGCACTTACCCACACCAATAACTTTTTCAATCTTTATGCAGGAGGCATCAATTTCTTTGGCAAATTCCCTCACAGCTTGGTTTGGATCCTCATATGTAAAAGGATCCACATATGTTCTAACACCTGCAAGGCAGAAATGTTTTATTTGAAGTCACTGATCTACATGCTGCTGAACACAGAACATATGAGACTGAAGCCTTAATGATATACAACAGCAAAGAGAGTGTACAATAAAAATGTACTGTAAGCCAGGAATGACTGATAAGGAAGGAAGGACTTAAGTATTTTTCCCCCCCAGTACAATATTTTAAAGTGTAAACATTTAATATTTCCCAATATTTATGTAAGGAATATGTCCGGTTATTGCCAATTAATGAGCTTCACAAATCACTGCCATCACTAGCATAGCCTGTCATGGACTGTGAGACTAAAGCACATCCCTTTTTCCTATAGGAGCCAGGAAATTCTGAGCTCAGGTCCTGGGTTTGGTTCATGAAAGTAACAATAGGATTCAGTGCTGGAAAAAAGGCAGCAAAGTTCACATTCCCTTTCCTGCAGGATTGCCTCTGGCCCATTCAGAAACTGCTTGAGCAGAGCATTGTTAGGAAAAATCCCACCTAGAAAGTGGCTAAGAACAGGTATCTTTCAGTAGCAAGGAACAACGGAAAAATTTGATAAACCCTTCTCCTGTCTGTACCCTCAAAACCCAGATTTTACCCAGATACTTCTATTTTCCCTGATACTAGAGTAAATAAATGTTTGCAAGAGGGGAAATCAGAAACCTATTCGCTGTAAAGAAGAATGCAATCCCTTATTTCCTGAGCACCAGAACACGAGCCATGTTTTACAGCCCAAACCAAAAACCCCAAGCACCAGGGCCCTTTACCTTGGTTCAAGTGTTTCTCCTCATCTGCCTCCTGCTTTGCCTTGCTGTACTTACTGCGCCTGTCAGAACAAAACACAGCATGTGAGCTCAGAACAGGGACCTCACTCTGAAACAAGCTCGGCCATCCTGACCTGCAGAGACTTGAGCTGCTGGCACCTGCCACAGCCATGACACAACACACAGCCAGGGCAGGAGGATCCTCACTCTCCTCTGCGTGCTGCTGGCATCAACAGAGCATCGATGGAAACACAGATCCATTTATATCTCAGCATTTAAAGAAAAAAAAAAAAGTTCATGCTTCGGCTACTTTTTCTTCAAACTTGCTTTTGCAATTGAGGGGCCAAATTGCTTTTTAGCACTACCACACAGGGATTTAAATGCTACAACGGAGGTGTTTTGGTAGATTGACTTTCAAACATCATTAGGTAAATGCCAACATCAATACACTTACTTAACTGCAAATTTAAAACTGGAAACAAGTCTCTTAACACAGAAATCAGGATCTCATCAGAAAAAAAAGAAAAACCACCAACTCTGACCATCAAAAATTAAGATCCTAAGGATTTTGCTTATTCTTCTAATCACTGCTTAATTGAAGGGGCTGAAGAAGTCCTGATGGCAGACCTCCTCTACTCACTCTCTGAGCTGGAGGCAATAACATAGCAGAGTATGTTCATTCTATAGATTACTACTTCTACACCTACACCTGTGATACTGCAATCTGGTTACATACTTAATTAGTTCAGCTTTCAGCTTCAATGGACAAGGAGCATTATGAAAAGCTAATACCAGAAGTTAGTCCATTAGGGAGGATATTCAGGAGTCTGCTCAGCCAAATGTGTAGGAATTTGAAGTTGCCCTGCATCCAGTGGTACGTAGATGCAGGGAAACGATTTGGGCTTTTACTCATCCATCCTTGAATGCTCAGAACCAAGCAGAGAACAGACACTGCTGAACAGAAGGGCTAACTGTTGCTTACTCTCAGTTTGCCTGTTCCTGGGAAATCCAAGTTTCCCAGGAGAGCTGGGGTGGAGAGAAGAGGGAAGGCAGAAGGGGAAACCAAGCCTGGAGAACAGGAGATGAGACTGGCACTGTGCAGCTGCTGCATGGAGTGGGGCAGGGGACAACCAGGCCTGCCAGGGACACCAGGGTGAGACTGGGTTAATTGATAGGCTGGAAATGGTGAGTACGGAGAAGAGGAAAATGGGAGCAGGTACAACAAAAATCTGTAGGATGCGAGTTAAAAGGGGTCAGAAAACTCACAGATAACAGAAAAGTCCTAACTGGGAGCCTCACTTGCAGCAAATCTCCCTGAGTCTTACCATACCTCTCCTGTCAGCAAAACCCCTCTGCCCCTTAGCAAAAAGCATCTCGCTTCCCACTCTGCACCTGCCCTGTGGGGAATGGCAGCTTCCCACTGCTGTCAGCTGGGAGCCCATCTCCCAGCCTTTGCACTCCTCGTGCTGGGTCATATCATACAACACACTATGCCAAGAATTAAAAAAAAAAAAAATAAATTAACCATGAAACAGAGGGGAAAAAATCCTGTTTGACATGTGAATACAACCTGATCTTGGAACCAAGCGTCACAGCTCCCAACATTGACAGGACTTGTGTTCACACAGAAAAAGCAGGTACACATACAACCATAAACCAGTGGGAGCTTCTCTTCTTGACACAAGCAACTGAAACACAAATGGCTCCAATCACAAGAAGAACATTATTAAAACCCACACTGGATCCAAACAGCCATTGAAACAGTTTATTTGCCCCGGAACTTACAGCACTGGTATCATAGAGTTGAGTGAAATAATGGGATGATGTTCTGCACCCAGCTACTGAACTGAGTAAGAAGGAAGAGGCAGCACAAATCTCACTCAAGGCCACAAAAGACCAGGCCAGCTAAGGGGAGTGCAGAGATGGTTTCAGGTACTATACAACTTCTCTCAGAAGAAAGGAAAAAAGGGAAAAAGAAGATTCTGCATTTTAATCAGAATTCTTCAAATTAATTTTATTAATGTTCAGGCACAGATGGGAAATGCAAAATGCAAACAGACTTCGCATGAAAGCATTTTAAGTATGAAGAAAGTCTCTTTATCTTATTTTTGAAAAGTACAAGCATCCTCACAACAGATTAAAAAATAACCTTCCCCCACTAAAACTCAAAGACAGCAAAAAGCGAAGGGAAACAAAGGGATTATTGTTCAAGCAATGTAATTGTAGCTTATTAAGTTTAAATAATACCTTCTAAACTAACTACCTACTTCCACCTCTGGCCGCGTCACCTGCTGACCTCTCCTGCCTGGCTTGGGGCAGGACACTGCTGAGTGCCATTGTCCTGCAGAGCAGCCCAGGAGCCCCACGCCACGGGGCACAGGGGCTGGGGCTGCCTCTGGGGCAGCTCACCTGAGTGCCAGAAGGGAGCCTTTGTCACAGATCTGAATCCCCTAATTACAGGGATTTGGGCAGTGGTGATTAAGTAGCCGGCATTCAGGAAAAGAACACAGAAGCTTTCAGGAACTGCAGGGGTCAGAGACAGGCAGAGCTACAGGTGGGGCTGGTGATGAAGAGGAGTTAACAGCAGGGGGAATTAGCAGGCACTGAGGTGAAACAGCATGGCCCTGCTCCCACCTCCTTCTTCCCACAAAGAGGGGCAGGGGGGGCTCAGCACCAGGCTGGCACAGCACCTGCTCCAACACCACCGGGAAAAGGTGGGCAAATGTGTCAGCAGAGTGAAGATAGATCAATTTATCGGCTGGAAGAATTTCTGAGAGAAACTTTCAGATGACCAGAGATTTGGTCAGACCATCTCACTCCTCACAAGCCCTTTTAGAAGGTTCCCCAAATCCTTTTCAACTCATATTGAGATGCTGCAATTTCCCCCAGCATTCCTTCAGAGCAGGCTTTAGGAACACCCAGCCATGTCCTGCCTGCTGCTCCACGGATGTCCCCATCCAAACCTCGGGAAGTTTAAACCAGCATTAGGCAGATTGGTTCTCGCATAGCAGGACAGAGCCAAACAGCTTGAGCTGCCTAAAGGCAAAGAAGGCAAAGTCCTTTGCCTAATTCTGCTGTAAAGATGAATTTTGGGATTTGAACGATGTCTTGAAAAAAGCATGAGGCTAAATTACCAGTAATAACCCAGAGTTCCAAAGTGAGCACTCACAGCATATGCCCAGCTCCCACGTTTGGCTCGTGGATGCAGAGAGGCCATGTCTGCAGGCCAAAGCACAGGTTTGACTGTACAAATATGACTTTTAGGTCATGGCTAGATTACAAAACCTTCTCACAGGGGCAGAAAATCTTTTTCTCATCTGAAGTAATTTTGGAACAAAGTATAATTATTTTGCTATTAACTTCTGCTGGCGTTGGAACATCGTGAAATATCCCCAAAGTCCACACCTCTAAATGACATTGTGATAGTGGTTGAAATCATTAGAGTAACACTGAATGTTAAAGTAGATTCTGTTTATTGAGAGCTACTTCCAGCTACTGCAGAGCTGTGTATTGAGAGCTATTAATTAGCAAGGCACCTTGCATTAGTATGCACGGAGTAGTTTCACTGTCCTAATATTTCATTCATCTTGCTCTGCCTTTCCCCTTCCCTGGCCTCTCTGAGAGACACCAGGGCAGAGCCACGGGACATCCCCAGCCCACGGCCACCAGGATGCTTTTATCTCCACTGCCACCAGTGCCTGGCCCAGGCTTTTGTCCCTGCTGCCCACCTGCTCCGTGGTGCCTTTGTGTGCAGAGATGAGTGGGCAGACAGCCCTGGGCAGACCTGTGTGAGCCCAGCAGGTCTGTCAGTACCTGGCTCCAGGCAGCCTCTCCTCTGACAGCTTTACGGCCCATCCTAACGAGAATCAATACGAGGGCAAGGGGTTGACAGTTCATTTTCTAAAGAGTGATCCATTGAGGGCCAATCACCAAGCAGTGTTTATCAGCCTTGGGAAGAGACATTTTTTTATAGGGGGAGAAGGGGAAGGAATCATCTCAAAGCAGCTCGACAGGCTCAATTCTCCAAGGTGGCGACTCATAATTAGAAATCCAATGTATCCTGCTATCAATCCTACCTTAAATAATAAAGTGATCAATAAAAGCAGAGAGGAGATTAAGTCATCAAGCTCAGTGATGCTATTTTCTGTTGCAATGGCTTTTAATAAACCTGTCTCTCCACACATTTTCATATGTTCTGCTCTTCTTTCCTCTTGCCAGCATGGAGGCTTTGAGCTGAACACCCACAGAAAGCGATCACAATGCACGTCTACTTTCCAGATATTACAATCACAGTCACCTAACGGCTCTCTAGGACAAGTTAAAGAGAGCAAATGAAGAGGAGTTTGAACACATTTACAGCTGATGCCATTAAACTGACCAACAGAGACTGACAAAATGTGCATCCCTCAGATCCCAGGCTTCAGATGCAGTAATGATACAACCAGTTTTATCTCAAAATTACAGAGGCAAGATCATGCTGATCTTTTTAAATGAGATTGAACACAAAAATGAAGACAGAAACATTCACACTGTGTTTCTGCTACACTGTCCTCCCACTCACAGGATTGCTCCTGATGCCTGGGTTGAATTTGGGAGAATGAACAAGCACTTGGTAGATTATGGTGCTGCATTGATGAAATAGCCATCGATCCAGTTCTGCCGTGTTACTGCATCTGATGCTGAATGACTGTGGCTTCCATTTTACAGTCATATCCCCTCACACAGGAAGGACTAGTACAGACTAACACAAACATCACAGTACAGCAGTCTGATGGCTCAGTTAACAAAACCGACGTTGTTTATTCCTTGTCCATCAGGAGTCAGCCCAAGAAAATCTACTGTACCCATAGCCATTAAACTTAACTTCAAATTACACTAACCACAAGTCTCTAGCTGGCTTGCTTCTCAATGCCAGTTATTGGAATCAGCTTTGCATTTGAAGGGCAAATAGAGCTGGAACTATTGCCATTACATCACATGCTGCTTGGTACTAATGTCGAGAAGATCAAAGCTACATGGGAGAAGGCTTGTAATGCAAATGTACTGTTTATGATGCTAATCAAAGAATTTAGCTTTGTTTGGAGGAGACAAAAAGCTCCCTGATGAAAGAGAGAGAAGGAGAGAGAAGCTTAAGTTCTTACCTCCTGCTGATGACAAAGGCTGCAATGAGAATGACCACAAGAACAACACTGCCAGCCACTGAAACAAGAAGCACTGTGGGATTGGTACCATCGCCGATGATGGGGGAAGGAACTGGAAACAGAAAAGGGAGCATTTGTGTCAGACAAATTCAAAAAATCAACCTTGGTAGCACTCAATGAGCTTTTTGGCTTATGAAGGCAGTTTAGAGTAGCACTCAAATCTACTTTCAGGCCTTTATTATATAGTCATTTGACACAATTTTCCAACAGGGTGCTAATGAGCTGACGACATGATATTTGATAATGATTTGGGGAACTTCAGTTCACCGGGAACAAGGACTCCCTCTCCTTCTCCCCTCCAGCGCTGCTCAGAGGGTATAATGACTACATTTTTTGCCTTTCCAATTGCTTTCCACACTTCTTTCCTCCTCCTTTTTCTCTCAGGGGGGCCGGATGATCACTTTGCAACTGACAGTAGGAGAGTAAGTTATTTTAAAATGTCTACTCTCCTCCTGATGGATTGTTTTCAGTTGTTAACACCCTGAATGATATTGCCACTAACTGGCATGACCTTAACTTGATTTAAGGAGACCTGTATGTCCAAAATAAAATAGGCTTGGTCACAGTGCCTTTCTGCCACTGAAAAGCAAACATTTTGGGGTCTAAATCTGCATGTTTCCTTGAACAAAGTGAAAAGCCCTACTGACAATGTAGTTTGAACATTCTTGTCTTTATGTAACCGTCTAAGGAAAAGGGCAAGTATGGGAGTTGATGTAGGACACTCAACTGATCTATGTCAATAGCTTGCAGCAGGCAGAAACAGGATTCTACTCTCCTTGAAATAAGATATTCCAGAAATGTGCAAATGTCTACTTTTACAGAAAACAAGATCTCTCAAGAATCGATGGCTTCCAAGTGTTTATGGGGTGCCTGTTTCCTTATGCCACAGTGTCACTGCTAGAATCTACAACACAGCCTATCCAAACACCGCCTGGGGTCAGCTGCACGGCATCCCTCGACACACAGCCCAGGCATGCAGCAGGGACGTCCCAGCGCCCAGCCTGGTGACCTGTGCAGCCTGTGCCGGGCGAGGAGCAGCAGAGCTCGGTGGCAGAGCCCTTACCTGTGTTGGTGGTGAACTCGAAGGGCCCGCTGAAGTCGCCGTATCCCGCTGCCGTCCTGGCGCGCACGTGGAACACGTAGGAGGTGAGCGGGTTGAGGCCCTTGATGTCCGTGTTCCTGGAGGCCGTCTTCACGATGCGATAGCTGCGCTCGTTCTGGTCCTGCCGGCACACACACGACACCGCGCTGATGGAGGGAAAACGAACCCGGCACCCCGCTGCCTTGCCAAAACTGCGCCGTGAGTAACGGCAATGGAATTCTCTAAATGCATCCCCAGGGCTCCTGCTGCTGGCCTCGCTCAACCCCCTACCACTGTGTGCTGCGTGGGGCTCCGAGCCAGCCAAAAAAGGAGGATGATGCAGTAGGTATGATGCTCATATATCACTGATTATTTAAGGAGTCACACAATGAAAACCTTTGGAAAACGGCCAAGCATTCAAATAGGATCCTCTTGATGAACAAGCACATTTTACTCACACATGCTGGCACTTTCTTTTTATTCTTACCAGCCAGAAGATATATAAAAAATTATAAAAATATTTTAAAAAGAAAAGACTTAGAAAATGTCTTCCAGAAAGTCCATTATTAAAAACTGTCCTATTTTTGGCTGGAAAATCTATCAGAAAACGTAATAATCCAGCTTCCCTGCAAATCAGATGCCTTTTTCTATATGTGGAAAGCAAGTAAGTGATTTTTTTTTAATAAAAAAATTTAGAAGCATGCGTGTGCATGTGAGAGACAGCGAACACAAGCAAGAGCAGGTAATTGTTCATTTTCGCAGAGAGCCTTCAAAGAAAATAGCTCTTTTCATAATTCCCTACTTGAGAAGTTATTTGAAGGAATAACATCTCCCTCTAACTTGGAAAGTATGAAGAATCTAATTTTCTCTCCTTATTCTCTATTAAAAGCCAGCCAGTCCACACTATCACTCGAAGCAGAGGCTGTCGGCAAACAGATCTTATTATTATGACTCTGTTATATACTTCATTATTATACTTCTGTCTATGAAGTAAAGCTAATGTCTCACTTCTGCCCAACATTATTGACTCTCATTATAAATGCGATTGCTATAAAAGCTCCATTTCTAGGTAGGAAAGAAATAACAAAATAAACTCATGCCATACAGTGGGAACAGCTTCTGAGTCTTACTCTTTCAAGCAACCATTCAAGTGCATGAAATCCTTAATTGGATTTTATTAAACTGAATCTATTTGGTTTCAAATGATGGAATCCTATCTGGAAATAAACTGCAGTGGAATGAAATAAAAAAGCTCTGCCCAAGCCCAAAGGGAACTCCTTACTTGTCCATTTTGGAGCAGTACCTTTTCATAGTATTTGACCTCATACTCCAGGATGACTCCATTTGGCCTGTCAGGCTCCAGCCAAGCCAAGGCAACGCTGTGCCTTGTTATCTCCTTAGCCTGGATCAATGCAATCGGGGACGGAGCTGCCAGAAGGAAAAAAAAAATATATAAGCAATAATTCAGTTTTAACGAGGAACGTGTATTTTTAGTTGTAACTTTCACAATATGAGCACTTTCAGAAACGGTGTTCTTCTTGGGGAGTGGAGGTAAGGGGAAATTAGAAGCATTAAAGATTTTTCCTGTTTTCTCTACCAAAATTACATTTAATCATCTCTAAAAAAGATTGGATTTGGATGCTGGACAGTACTAGATAGGTGGGTTTTGAAAGTAACAACACAGTTGTCTAAACACTGCAATGTTCATCCTGCCCATGAAGGCAAAAACCTTTATAAAAGATCATGTACTAAAAGGATCTTTTATTTTTGTCCTTTGTCATTTTGGTCCACAGTCGTTCTTTTCTTCCATCTCATAAAATTAGCTGATGCTATTCCATTAGCTATTTACTTTAAAGGAATTATGAAGTTCCTGAGGATTCAATCTGGTTTTCTCTAAAGCTGAGAAAATATTGCCACTCAATTAAGTAAGGCCAAGGTAAAGCTGACTACATATGAATTTGGTCCCTCCCATTAAAACCAGGAAACTTGTACTTCAAGAGTCTGAGCCAATTTGTGCCTCCTAACTTGCCCTGCTTACACCCAAATCTGTGAGCAGCCAAGGGCCAGATTCTGGCTTTGGTAGCTCCTTCCCAGCCAGCAGATAGCAGAGACTGATCCAGTGTGTCCCGAAATGGCATCTCCTGACCCTGTCCCGTGTGGGGCTGCACCGATGCCATGAACAGAAAGAGCAGGATTGCACCACCAAGGGTAAGGACTGCAGCATTTTTGGAAAAACTCTACCTAGCAACAAGCGAAACTCCAAGACCTTTTAAACTGTATCTGTGTCAGTCATAAAGGCTGCAATGAAGAAGATAATGGAAAGCATCTCTTTGTGCACCGTGCACTGTCTAAAGAGCCCCTGCTAATGCTGAAGTTCAGGTTTCTGGCTGGCTGGAGGACAATGCCTTCTCCCTCTGCCTGTGATAGCAGCAGATTCATGGCTGTGTGGGGAACGGGTTTTCTGAAGATTTATGAACCCGGCTGCCCCTTTCTTGCTGTTGTGTTGCTGTGTGGTCACATCTCTAGCCAGCTGTTATCAAGCCCTTTTGATGCTGACAATAGCTGGTATAAATGGCGGAGTCTCCAGGGATAAAAAGGGACATTCATGAAATTTTTAATCTTATCTAACAAAGCTGTCCTGTATAACCAGAGATTAGAGGTCTTCCTAAATTGAATATATTTCTTCTTTTGTCCCCTGATGCCGTAGCTGCTCTTTTTTTCCCCATTTCCCTTTCTTTTTGTTTCTTTTTCTACCTTTAACTTTGGGATGACGATCCATGAAAATGTAATAAAGCTAAAAGTATCCTTGAAAGAGGTATCCTTGAAAACTACCAAGAAAGGCAAAGAAATAAAACAGTCACTATAAATGAAAGGAAAATTGAATGTTGAAAGCCTCAAACCTACTTGACCATATCAGACAGCTCTGATGGAAGTGAAAATAACTGGTAGATGCTGCAGTCACAAAAGGGTGTCTCCTCTTGATGTGAAACCATCAGGGAGCTGCTTCCCGATTTACTATTTGACAGTTTGGCATCTCTGTTAGAAATGCCTCCAAAACCTTTATCTCTTTTTTCCTTGTCTGTCTCTCACAGGCAAAGGCAAATACTGAATGACAGAGGAGACTATAAACACAGCCAACAGGGAGGATCCAGGTGTGCTCCATCAAATTATATCTGTGGCATGACTGCAAACCTGCTTAATAACCTCACACTTCCTCAAGAGAGGATCAAACCTTTTTTTAATTCCCCTCTGCAATAAGAATACTGCTCAGCTAATAAATTAGAAATCGGATTTGTTACCCTAAAGCACGCACGCACACGCCATTACTGATAAACCAAGCGGACAGAAATCTGCTTAGTTAATCGCTGCCTCACGCAGGGCAGACAAGCAATTCTTTTTACTGAGAATCCATCACTTATGCTGGTCTGACCTCAAGAACTGTAGAGAGAAAGTTCACTTTCTTTCCTTTATCCTCTCTTTAACCTCCTTGGTTTCCCATTTCATTTCAGCAGGCATCTATATTGGAATTTACTGAGTCCTTCAATATTGGGCTGGTAAGTGCAGTATGAAAACACATTTCTTCTCTGTTGTAAAATGGCTATTTGCAGCAGAAGAATTTATATTAACTAAGCCTTCTTGTGAAAGACTCTCAGCTTTATAGAGCTTAACAAGTGCTTTCTCACATCTCCCAAAAACGGACAGCTGATCACTATACCATATTGGAATAAGCAACACGCTCCTGGCCCCCAGGACACAGAAAGGATTTGTACATCAATTCCTTCATTACTACTTACACTTTTAAGAATGGCTCTATTTTTTCCTTCTTGCCCTTTATATGCAAATTCATCCTCCTTAACTTTCAGTATCTTCTTTTGTCCTGGATTCTTCAGATGAGCCATTTGTTCCTGACTTTGTTCTGACTGCACATCCTGCCTCTCCATATGCTGTACAGAAATCCTAAGAATGCCAAAGTCCAACTACAGGACTGCAAGAAGTTCTTCAGGAGTGACATCCCTGCAGCACAGACCTACAATGGTCTATGCAACAGGATGGTGAGCTCAGAGGACCCTGAGGAACTGGACCCAGTACCCACAGGGTACTACAGCTATCCCACCGCATAGACACAGTCCTCAGTTACAAATTCCCTTTTCTTTCTGCAAGTGGCCCTACAAATCAGGTGTATTTTTTCCCTTGTTTTTCAGGATCCACCATCTGACCTGAAAGACTGGATTCCTGGAAGAACAACAGCTTCTCCTTGCACATGTACTACCAAAGGGCATAAGAGTCTGGTCAACATTGTCCAGGACAAAGAGGACATCAGCACTGCCAGCTCAACAGGGCACTTCAGGCAGCAGACATAACCTTCTGAGTGAGCTTGTGCAAAATATTTACATTCTTTGTTCTTCTCCCTTTTGCCTTTAAATTGCCTCTTAGAGATGATGTGAAGATAAACATGTAACAGGTTGTAAAATGATGCTTTGATCACAAGCAGAATAAAAGACAGAATATTCTGCTCTATGTGCGTGGGCTAACTTCATTAGATGCACACATTCCTACATAAAACACATTGAGGACAGCTTGACCAAAAAGAATAACGTACACAATTAAGATGCTCACAGTTTCCCATGTGACTTATTGAAGGGAGCAGAAGATCACTTTTTCTTTCACTTTTTGCACTTCCCTCCATCCTGCTCCCTTATGTTTGGAAAGGAGCAGTAAGCAATGACTTATTTCTCAACCATCACTGCTTACAGCAGCAAGCTTTCTGCCACACGTGCACAGACTGCACATACCAAGCACCAATTCTACCAGAACAGCCCTTCTCACAAAATGAGGTATTTTGGTATCTAAAAAGGGGTCTCTCCTTGAACAAAAGCACCAAGTGTAACTTTTCCCGAGTTCAAAGCTCAGCAGTTCCTCTCCCTTAAGAACCCTGCTCCCTACTGATGTGAATGTTGCAATTTTCTTTCATCTACTTCCTCAATAACCTGCCATTAAACACCTACTAGTAGTTTTATTACCTCAGTTCTGAGCTTGCAGCCTAGAGAGAGAGAAAGAGCACAGATGTACTACAAAAACTTCACCCAAATGCCATAAAGCCATATCCCAAGGCTAGCGAGTGCTGAATTGTAGCAGTTTTGAGGCACTTTAAAGGATGGCAGAGGCAAGAGTGTCAGTTTTTCATTACTGGTTCAAATTAGGAGGGGTGGGGGAGAATGGAAAGAGGAAAAAAACAGGAAATAAATAGATGCAATAAAGTCTCTGGCATGTAGGCATCCATGAGTGAAAACAGCCCTTTATAAAACTACAGCACATGAGTACTCAGATATCAAAGATACACAATGCCCAGTGTTTTATTGAAGATGCCTTCTTGCCCACAGCAGGGTTTACTTTCCACTCCCCATGATTTGAATTTAAATGGATCATGTTTACTCAAGGGGTCTTTCACTGACTGAAAAATATACCCACAGTTTGTACATTATCTCAGCTAAATTCAAATAACATATTTAAATTTAATTACTTGAAGCTTAGGGGTTTTCATGCTTTTCTTTATTCTCTCAATTGCACACAACACTTATTTGTTCTTATCAATGGCTATGCGCTTTGTCAAGCATCAAAATTAAATGCTTGAAAGCACTAATGATGTTACTGTGATTAAGGGTTTTTACCTTCCAGGGTAGATACTAAAAGCCTGCTCCATTATTAATTACTTAAAAAAAAATATATATATATATTTCTGAGAATCTAACACTGAAGAAGAGTCCTCTTAGAAATCAAAACAAGAAAACAAAAGATCTTCCATTAAATAAATCTTGTCTTGATTAGAACATAACATATTTAAGGGAACCTGGCACATTTCAGGTTTTCTCTTTGACTATTTACCTTGTAATACTGTGGATGTTTACATGAGATTTTGCAAATTATATTAGTAAATAATCTCACAGCAGGAAAAGGATACTCAACACGAAGAATCAAATATGATTTTAATAATTTTAGAGGCCCGTGCTCTGGGCTTTGATCAGATTCTGATCGTTTTATTCATGTAAGAGGGCATCTTAATTGACTAGCTGTCACACTGACTTCAAATTGAGGGAAGAGAAAAACTTCCAACTCACTTCAGTTTCATGTACCAGAATAAATTAAAAAGAAGGCAGCTCTCTTTCACAGAATCACAGATTTGTTAGAGTTGGAAGGGACCTCTGGAGATTATCCAGTCCAATCCCCTGCCAAGGCAGGGTCACCTGGGCAGGTTACACAGAAATTAATCCAAATGGGCTTGGAATGTCACCAGGAGGAGAGACTCCATGACCTCCCTGGGCAGCTGTTCCACTGCTGTTCTTCCTCATGCTGAGGAACTGTTTGTATTTTAGGTTTTGGCCATTACTTCTTGTCCCATCACTGGGCACCATGAAAAGAGCCTGGCACCA